GACTGTTGGAGAAAGCTTCAGGGAGATCTGGGACGGAAAACGACGCTGACACGGATGACTTTTTGTTGAGCAGGTAAATTTATTTATTCTTTTATGGTGTGACGTGTTACATGGCTTTTTATCAATTTGACAACTTGCTCATGCTGCCGGTCGGCATTGGAATGTTAGCCGTTTAGCATCGCCTATCACGGGTCAAAGTAATTATATTTCCCGTTCTAGGTTTCTGTTGGAGCCGATCGGAATTTGAACAAGATGTGCTGCGTGCTGCAATAACAATTACTGAAAACCTTAGCAATACTAGTAGTATTATAATGGTGGTGGGGAGTTTAGAACATTTCATGTGTTGCTAATCTTGCGATGACGTGAACTCAAACGTGACATACGTCAGGAATCAGGTAGCACAGAGGGGAGGGGGGTGTGTATGGAGGGGCGGGATGAGTTTTTTTAAAACTTCCCTACCGTCTCGACCGATTTTTAACATCGTATACCATAGCTTTAAACCAAGCTCCAAAATACCACTTTTATAGAAATGTCTGAAACCAGTATAACATCAATAATTGTACTGCTTTTAGAAGTAATTCTGGTTGGGTCACTGATAATTTGTTTCAATGCATATGATTTACATATGTATATGCATATGATTTTATATAATTAAAATACACAAAATTAAAGGGGACATATCATGCAAAATCCACTTTTTTAGCCCTTAAATGCATTTTGTTGTATATTTGGAGTGTTTATAAGTACAGAAAAGATGAAATTATTCTCTTCAGGTGCTTCGTCTATATCTTTATATTCTGTTTTGGTCATATTTTTCAACCTGTTCAGATTTTTCTGTTTTCTACGACGTTTTTTGAGTAAGTGCGTCACCGTATTTGGCAGCGGAACTGCCAAATAAGGACATTGACTACCTGCCCAACACTTCGAGCAATCCGCCATTATTATTTCTCGCTCCGATTTTGTAGTCCGAGCTCAATGATGCAGAAGTTACAAGAGGGCAAGCCAAAATATTCGGTTGTTGGATGTACGTTAGTGACCTGAAGCACTTCAAGGATTCCCACTTCAACAACCTCCGCCAGTATACAGAAGGGTTTGCCGATTGACTTTGTCTGAATGAGAGGTAAATTCCTTCTATCTTTGGAGACGATGAACAGAGCATTTCGATAAGCTGTAAATATTGTTAATAAAAATAAAGTACTTTCTTAAAACACATGGTGGTCATGGTTTAGCAGTACCTTTGTCTTTCTTTGTTTTTGTTTTGAAGTAACGTTACACGTCTGCAGTATTATTGTTCTTGAGTTTCATCAATGGTCATTTAGCTGCGTTGCTTTCTGATGCTTTTCTAAACGTATCATATTGTCAATACAGATTTTTTTGTGGTAAGATTAGACCGTAGTCATTTATCTTGTCAGTGTGCTTGTTTTAACAAGAGAAATAGTCGACTTTCATTAGTAACACAAAACAGTTAACTCACATACCAATACATCCATATGGTTCGGCAGGTTCATATGCAGGTTCGTCGTTGTCTTTATCAACTCGCTCGCTCTGGCTCGAATAAGTAAGGCTTGATGGACAAGTCTTCTGTTGATGACATTTATTAACGTGTGAATAAAAATGTTCTTTGAAGGTATTGTATATAATTGTATATCTCTAATCAAACTACAATAATGGCCGAACGTGGGGAGTTAAACTGACCGTGAACTCATCGACCTGGAGAGCGGGCGGGGTATGACGCATCTCCTTTTTATTTAAAGGGTCATGAAACCCCCCTCTTTCAGCTCAAGTCTAGCTCACAATCTTTTTGAAAAATGCAACTTAAATGGGCGTGGCTAGCTGTGAGAAGAAGGGAGGGAGTGGGTGTGGTATGGCCATCACTCAATGTCCCTCCCATGCATATCGACTGTCACTAAAAAGCAATGGTAAAACGTGAGGAAATGCTAGATTTTTATATGTAGCTGGCAAAGTTAAAGTCTTATGAAATAAACCGACACATTATTATTGTCCTTTCAAAAGTAACTGAATGTCCTGCTACATATATTAGCCTAATCGTAATTCTATTTAAAACATATTAATGTTGGCTACATGCATAATTATAATGACATTATAAAATATATAGTGGTTTATATAGACACTATAAACACATTTCAGAAAAAAAATATTAATTTTCCGCTTAAAAAACTCATTCCGTGTATAGTCTACGTACCCTCTGAACCCTCATAATAAAGATGGCTCTGCGGAGGTGGATGAATTCTCATTTTAGACACACACACACACACACCTCTGAAGGGATAGAAAGTCCTCGGGATACCGCATCACTAGCAAGACGCAACTTGGATTTGTTGTCAACAAGGCGAAGTCCATCATTCTCCACTTGTCGCAGCTCTCTCGCGAAAATGTTCGCGGCACACACTATAGTTTAGATCACGTTTAGATGTGTCCGTGGTTGATGGCAAACCAACCGTCCAGAGTCAGAGTCTAGCCCTGGCAATATCGCGGGGAACATATTCAACGCACTTGGACTTTGCACCATGAAAATAAATACTTGCGTCCCATGATTGCCTCTCTCATCTACTACGCGATTTAACATGTCTGTCGTTGGAAAGATCCACGTGGTGTCATGAATAATTAAGAGACCGTGTCTTCTCATTGGATAAGAAAACTCAGTCTCATTAATAATAATGAGACAGCGATGAGTCATCAACGCACTGTGCAGTGCATGGCCACGTCACCCACTCCGATGAAGATTTTAAACCCGGAAGACGAAAAAAGCGGGAAAAAAACTCAAATTTAACCATTTTAACCTTATTCCCAGACAGCAAACTGACATTGAATCAACGTGGAAACGACGTCTCTCATGACATTGAAACAACGTTGATTTTGCTCATCGAATTAACGTTGAACCAACGTCAGACGCGGCATTCTTCAAAGCTAAATGAAAATCGATAATTGGTTTGCTTTCATAACGTTGAAACAACGCGTTGATTTCAAGTTGATTTTCCGTTAGTTTTGAAAGAATGACGCGTCTGACGTTGGTTCAACGTTAATTCGATGAGCAAAACAATGTCGGATCAACGTTGTTTCAACGTCATATTTCCACGTTGATTCAATGTCAGTTTGCTATCTGGGTTATTAAATCTAACAGATGCTAACATTGTCTTCAATGGTGTTCAACACACATACCTCTGTTATAATCTCAGAAAATTTGGTTTGGGGTTTCATGACCCTTTAAAGGGGCCGCGTTTGAAACGGGTCGCTCAAAGACGCAAATCAGAAAAGGGGTAGAAAAGGGGCTTGTGGAGCTATAATAATGAGGAATTCAGACCCAAGCATTGCAGTTATGTTTTATATAGACCACAACGGTATGATTTATATGTAAAAATGAATGATTTAAAAGCATGATATGTACCCTTTAAAGATTAGACACAGGAAGAGATCAGTGAATCAGAAAGTTCAAGACAATTATGGCATCGTCACAACAGCCAAAAACACCACACCAACTTCCTCTCGGCTTTTGAAAAAAAAAAAAAAAATTACTTTATAAACTCACTGTCAGCCAGAGAAAAACTAATGAGCCCAACTAAAGCAAACGCTGATGCTAATAATGTTAAACTGGTTTGTAAACTTGAAGTCAGTTGCAGTTCTTGGGCTCTATCTTGCACCCGGCGCAAATGACTTTATGCACTGACGCATTTATCATTCCTATTTTGCACTATCATTTTCACTTTTTAACTGAAAATGATAAGTTACTGTCAGAATTTGGACAGAATTTACAGCAAGGTTTAACAGTAGCCTCGTTTCCATCCACTTTTTGCGCTGTTGTGTTATCGACAAAGTGAATATGCGGAAAAAAAACAATACGAAATTTGCCGTCTTCTGACTGTTTCCATTCAATTGACCTTTTACCGATAAGATTGTGTGCGTGATGACGTCACAAATGACGAAAGCGATTTGTCGCATATGTTTTAGTGTATCGCAAAAAAAAGTGACTTCAGCCATTTCCATAAACATTTTTTTTTTATTTTTTTTTTTTTATCGCAAATTATACCTTTTGAGGTTCCAGTCAGCACACCCTCAACACCGAAACAAACAAACAAGAAAATCGAGAGAGTAGGCTATTCAGGCAGTTAATTGAAATTTGCCAACTTACTGTCATTTCAATTAACAGTTACACAAATGGGACAAGTGTCCGAAATATCAGAAGACGACGGCAGAATGAAGCAGTTGCTCATGTGATAGGGCTCGAAAACTACCCTTATTATGCGACGAAGCCCAAGCGTCTGGGAGAGACCACGCAATAAGGCATTCTGGGAGGAAGTTGTGGAGAGACACTTTACAGAAAGTCTCTGGGTGCAACATTTTAGAATGACACGGCCGACGTTTGAGATGCTGTGTGGATTCATTGGTCCTGATGTTGCGCCTACCCCAGGTTGCCACCGACCACCGGTTCCAACACGAAAGCGGATTGCCATTGCCATCTACAAGCTGGCAACCTGCGCCGAGTATAGAGTGGTAGGCGAAACTTTCGGGGTAAGTCGGGGTTAGATTTCTCTGTCGTTTCCCGTCAAAAATACATGTTATATCATTTTCTTCCATTAAATGGAGAAAATAACGAGTCTCCTCATCTGTCCACGAAAACCGCTCCGAGTCCGCCATAGTGTTTGTTGTGACGACGACTGCACCTTGCGCGTGAGGAAATTATCACGTGACACCACATTTTTTTGCGTGAAAGCCCTTTTTCTCGACAAAAAGTGTTTCCAAACTCGTTTTTCGCGACATTTAAAATATCGACATTACATTTATGCGCTTAAGTTAAACGGAAAAGGATTGTGTCGACATTTGCAAAAAAAAAAAATCGATAATTGGCGTTTCCATCAACTATATCGGTAAACATTTTGATGCGCAAAACCTTTTTTCGCAAAAAAACCCTTGGATGGAAACCTGGCTAGTGTCAGCAACAAAATGCTTATAAAAGACTGCTATAATGTCCAGTCAAACCCTACCTTTCAGGACCAATCGAGCTCCTTTAGAGTGAGCATAACACATGAGATCTGCATCATATTGTCCAAAAGCTGCAACTGTTGTAACTTTCGTCCAGTCATAATACTTCCAAGCCTTTTTCCCAACATCGAATACAAAAACCTGGAATAGAAGCATTAATTGTTTGTTTTAGACAGCTTTCTAGAATAAAGATAAGAGCTTTTTTATTAGAGATTATATTCTTTATCACAATACATTGCAATAATCAGTGTTTTTACTCTGACAAAATTTTTTACCCTAATTAAATGTAAAGGGGTCCAATTATGCCTTTTCACAAAGTTTGATTTTGGGGTGTACTAGGATGTTTTCATGATTGATTGTTAAAGGGCACCTATTATGGAAAATTCACTTTTACATGGTGTTTGAACATAAATGTGTGTTGGCAGTGTGTGAGCAAAACCACCCTAGAATGATAAAAAATCCACCCAGTGTTTTTTTTACAATCTCAATAAATCATATGCACTGCCTCAGAACGAGCTGTTCTGAGATCCAGCTCTTTGTGACGTAGAAAGTGAGAAAGGGGTTTGATTGACAGTGTGGTTGTGGCATAGACCCCGCCCTCGGTGATCTGTACATCCTTCATTGTTTCAACGACAGCCGGTAATGTCTCTTGGAAACATAAATGTTCTGTCGTGGACTCATGGGTTAATCCTGTTGTTGTAGCTTAAAAGTTAATCCTCAACTGTGGATCGTCATCTACTGTTTGCGATCCACCGTCACATCCAGTAACAGTAAGTGTATTTTATGATTTTTGAGCAAATAGTCTTTTCAGTCAATGTCAGCCAATTCAACAACAAATGCGTCTAAAGTTGTTGTCGTCGTAGGATGTCTGTGTATATAATTTAAACCTTGTTTGTATAGTGTGTAACCACACGTTTATATATATTTAAAGATATTGTATTAAAAACTGGATATATGTTGTTGTTCTGTAAGTTAGCCATCTCCTCACATTTGCCACAGAAGCACCTGTATGACAAGTAAACATGACGCCACAGGTCCCTCGCATAAATGTAATTTCGCTTGTAGTAGCAAACTTCACAGTATGTGTATGTAATTTCAGAAAAATTGCGCAAGCATTAGTGTTTGAGTGTGTCTTCCACATCCATAATTGCAAATGGGACGCGATTACAACAACTCTATAAGTACATAAATGTATCAAATAACCATACCGAGACGTACTGGTCCATTCTCATTTGTGTTTATTCTGCCGGAGTCTCTTCGTACTATTTATATATTCCGATTCAAACGTACGCTGAATGTCATCAATGTCACGCAAAACAGCAGTTTCTCACACTCTCTCAGTACCGACTGCCATTGGTATCAAGTTACGCCCTCATCCAAAGGCAGGGCGGGCATATGCAGCTCATTTGCATTTAAAGCCGTATACCCCCGAAACAGCTCATTTTTAAGCAGGCCCCAAAAATGACATTTTCAAATGGTTATAATAAATTAACTGTGGGGTATTTTGAGCTGAAACTTCACAAATACATTCTAGGGACACCTTAAACCAATATTACATCTTGTAAAAAGGGGCATAATAGGTGCCCTTTAAAAAAATGCATTATTTTTTTTTACATATTTTACATTATTACAGCTCCACTCTTTACAGCTACAGCTCAAGTCTTTTAATCTTTTCCTTTGATATGTAATCTTTTCTGATTAGTTATGTACCCCTGTATTGTGTCTTTTTTCTTTCTATTAATTTGTTCTATATTGTGACTGTTTTTTTCTTTGCTTATAATGTTTTCTATAAAAAAAATAATAATAATAAAAATAGAAACGCTTGCACCAACTTCAAGCATAATACAGGCATGTGATTGGCTAAGGACAAAAAAGCAGGAAAATATACCGAACAGAAACAACAACCAGAGATACATTTATAAGCTATATTTTATTGTCATCACAGTTTGCCAACAGTCCCGCATCCAAGATTCTACATTGATTAAAAAAGAAAATCAAATGTGTTTTAATGGTAGTTATTTTATACGGAAATCATTTATTTATAATTCAGATGAGAATAAAGTTAGGGTTAATTAAAATTAAGGAAAACAAATATATTGATCTGAAATATAGCATTTTACATTAATTTAAGTACAATTACCAAACATATATCAAGGTCATTTTGTCTTTTTATTATTTAATTAATAAACTAATTATATAAAACTATTGTCAGTCAAAAATGAATCTGCTGAAGCTTGTCAAGCCAAACGTGAATTGGATCGTCTTAGGGCGAAGAGCATTTGAATTATGGAGCTGCAACACATTCTCATCCTTTAACGTCATATAGAACGCTATATGCAAAAACGGCGCTATACTACGCACATGGCACCCTTTATCGTTAATATAACACGCGAACCCAAGACGTCATAAATCCTTTAGCGTGAATATGACACGCACACCCTACCCCACACCTAAACTTAGCCCTCACAGCGCGTGTTATATTAACGATAACGGGTGCCATGTGCGTAGTATAGCGCCGTTTTTGCATATAGCGTTCTATATGACGTTAAAAGATGAGAACGGGCTGGGAGAGACCTCCGCTATTTTTATTGTGATAAATTACAAGTTTTCATATGCTGAAATAATGGTAAACTGTAATGAAATAGCAAGGTAAACTACAACAAACAAGAGACATTAAATGAATACAAAAGACTGTTACAGGATAACAAAAAGTTGGTGCTTTAGGATGTAACTTCTATTTTATCTACTGTCTAACTTCACTCATCCAGCTATTATTATATTGTTTAATACACATTTCCAGACACGTTCAGTACAGGCTAATGTTACTTAGTACGGTCGATCTTACTGTTACACTGAAATAGTTTAGTCTAGTTCACTAACCATTTTCGTTATCAAATTATACATTCACCTATGTTGACGTTGCAGATTGTGAAAGATACATGAATAGTTAGTGAAATGCCTTATTCTAGATAGCACCACAAATGTAACGTTATCATGGTATGAGCATGAAGCATTAGTTCAACGTCAAGCTGATAAAACTAAGTAGCCTATTATTGTAACGTTGCAGTGGGAGTTTACATGAGTTTCCAGCATGTTGTGTGATGCTTTCTCCGCTGTGTTGAAAGTCTCAGTGTGGCCGTGTACCGTGAGTGCTCGCTGTTGTGTTTGAGCACGCGCAAGAGCACGAGCGCTCTTGTAAAAATTGGTTGCAATCTGAAACATCACCGATAGAGGCCGCTAAAAAAAAATACATAGAGCACCTTTAAATGTTATACCATTTAATCATTTTAATACAAACAGTAATCAATCACAAAACCATAGTTAATTTCCTAAGCAAAGCAGCGCTGAACAGTCTTAGAGAAGCGAAAGCTTACAATTCTCTCCATGTGCAGCGCACATATACTGGAGTTATAATGTTCGGAACAGTGTTTAAAATAAGTTAACCAAGTTAGTCAGGCTTAGGAAGGTCAAACAAATGAGTTTTGGAAAAGTTGTGGGAAAAAAAACAGTGTTGACATAGCGACAAAACTTCCGAAATAAAGCTCAACCAGGCCTTGTCCCCCTTTTTGCGTATTCCGTGGGCAGTGCTTATTTAGATAAGTACCAATGTGGCTTCATAAGATCCAGAAAAGTTGCATTATAGTCCAAACGAGCCGTTCATTGTAGTTGAGAAGTTCTGTTAAATAAAATATCCAGATTGTCCTCACTGAAGAACACAAAATCCAGGGGGAGGAGTTGGATCTGAATTACAACTACCCATCTCCGCCCCCTGATCCATAACCCTACCCCTAACCCTACACATCTCCACCCCTCAGATCTGGATCCAACTCCGCCCCCTGGATCTCGTGTATGTCAATGAGGTGCTACTGAAAATATCCCTTTGGAGTGGACTTAGAGCTTTGTAACCTTATAGATCTTTTTTATGCCCAAACAGCAACATTACACCCTAAAGTTGAAAAAGTGGAAAAGCGTAATAGAACCCCTTTAATGTTGTGTTTAATTTATTTTTTAAGTTCTAAACAAAACAGCATGCAGGAGCAGTAATTGGTGATGATGAGTTATAGTGAGTGAATGAGCTCAATGTGCAAGTAAGTTAAGCTGTTACTGTCACAGGGAAGCTATACAGCGACCCTCAACAAAGGACAGATTTACACACTGAATGTCTAGCAAAATATGTTTGCAAATGCCACTTGGTTTGATATTTTCTGACCGTTTTAACGCCATCAGCTGATCGCTGAATGCGTCCAGAGTGAACGCTTACCTCAAACGCTGGTTGGGATCGAATGGGTTGACAGAGCTCCTCTAGTGCACATGGACAAAAGTTGGACCACACCTGTGCGGACAAAGTCAACACGAGGACAGACACAGAGATCTTCATTGTATGCTAAAATATATGTTAAAATACAGAAACAAAAACATCACTGTCTGTCTACAAATCTAAACAGACCGAAACAATAACACGTGACACCAAAAAAAAGAAATGAAAGCGATAGATGAGAAATACACAAGACACTTACCACAAAGGGGGTGGGGTAAACCATAGACATAATATATACATAGACGCCCTATTGGCCGCTTTGGAACGTTGCTGCGATACGTCAACGGGTCCGCCATTTTGCGGAGGTCAAGACTGCATTGTAATTAAATGTAAGTAAACGGGTGAGCTGCGTTTTTCTGGATAAAAACATTCTTGGATAAGAATGGTGAAGATCCCCATACTGAGATATTTAAGTTTGCTCATTGTGGAAAAAGCATTTTATGTGATCGACCAGATTTTAGCAATAACATTGATAACTGATGGATCATTTATGATAATACATATGTTGTGGTACAACTGTAGTGCAATGCAAATAGTAATTATAAAGTGAAAAGTACTAGTGAATAGTTTAGTCAATAAAATAAACAAATAGTATACAGCAAATAAAATGGTAATGCATACATGTAAAAATATTGATAATAGTTTATTAATAATTCTATAATAATAGCAATAGAATAAGACATTTCTACAGAATAAACACACACAAAAAATATATTTAATATTTAGCTCTTTGTGCTAAATTTCAGTTTTATTGATCAGTAATAGGCTAGCCATTATAACAGAAGTAGCTTCAGTCAAACATACTGTTAAAATAGCCTAAATATAAAGTTATGAAACTTTACTTTGCCTTCAGCCAAAACTATACCAGGGAACCATTAATAGATTAATGAGACCAAAGATAAACACAAATTATACGAATTATATCTCATGTTTAACCTCTTGACTAGAGACATCCGAGCCAGCGGCAACCGTCAGAAGCACTGGCCGTGGTACGGCTGTTCCAGGCAAGGGTATCTCGTTCCAGGCGGGGGAGACGAGCGCTGGGCGGGGGCGCAGCAACTCCGAACACTTCAGATCAAATTTTTAAATAGGCTCTATCTTTATAAACAAACCACATATTTGAGCTTTAAACAACTACATTGTCGACTGAAAAACTATTAAAACTACATTGCGTGACACAATAACAGTAGTATTTAATCTCTAAACGTTACTTACTAATTAAATCATGACCAAATACAACCAAAAACAAACGTTCAGTCTTGCTTGTAAAAGGTACTTCCTCGAAAGCTGTTTTCAGTTGTGTGGCGATTTTTACAGCCCCAAGCAGCGCACAAAACAGGCATTTTTCTCAATTCCCGGTATGAGAGGTATGGGAAAGTTGATCTCCTCAATATGGCGGCGCCGTTGACGTACGCTCCAGCGGCCAATAGGGCTTCTATGTTGTTGTTTTTTTTGTTTTTTTTTGCAACATAGAATATACAAAGATATTTACATGACAATACAGCTCACAACAAATAGAAAATAAAAAAAAAAATCATGCCAGGGGTAAAGACCTATAAATACTTCATAGGTCTTTCTTGCTTTTTTGTTCTTAATTTTATCTAATGAATTACCATATAGTTTAATCTCTTTCATAAATAGGGCGTCTATGTATATTATGTCTATGGGGTAAACTGCCTCAAACTGATTTCATTGGTCTGATTCGATAACACGATTCACATGACATGAAATGTTACGTGGAATAAAGATAAGGGTTTTTTTTTAATCGTTTTATTGATAATTCTGGTTTTGACTTTTTAAATATTATGTTTTATCTGTTACAATTCAAAGCTGATGATATCAAACTCATACTGTTAAATTATGATGATTAAATAAAGCCCTTTTAATAAAACAGTTATTACCACTGATCTAGATTTTTTTTTTTAATTCTATTTGGTTTTAGGTATAAAGGTGCTGTCTGGTGATATCAGTTCCCCAAATAGGCTATAATAATTCAATACATACTTATTTAAGCACTTAAAAAAAACTATTAAATAATAATAAAAAAAACTGAATAAATAGTGGTTATAAATGTCAGTAAAAGTTCATATCCGTTAAGTAAGATCTGACTCCTACCTGCAGGGTTCAGATCCGACACTGATCCAACACACTTGTCTATAATTATTAAGTGCTTCTGAAGATGTTAATTAGCTGGTTCAGTTTATCAGGGTTGGAGCTGATCTCCAAGAACAGGACTGGAAACTCTTCAGTACGGGGCATTACAAGGCACAGTGCGCCCTCTGCAGGAGAAACACACTTCTAGTTGTACCAGTCATTCTACTTGTTTTCAGTTCATTGCAGCACCCATAACTTCCTCATGTCAACAGGGGAGTTAGCTATTTTCTGGGGATAACTATTTTTTAGCAAACTGTAAATCAGCATTGTTGGGAGGCAAATCTCTGATGAGAGTTCCGGTTTCTGTGGTCAATCTGGTGCAAGCATGTTGCATCAAGCTGTTAGACTCTACAGCTAAAGCCAAACTGACAAATAATGACAAATGAAACAACAATTGCGTTGAGGCATGTATAGAACAAAAGAACAACTAATGAATCCAGCTAAAGTAGGCTATAAGCAATCAGCTTCAAACCGGACAGATGAAAACATTCAAATCTGTAACTTAAATGTTAATTTATTTTCTGGTGTCCACCTTTTTTTCTTGAGCAAATAATGATTGCCACCATGATGGATTCTAGCTTTCGTTTGTGTCCTCTTCCATTACCCATTGTTAAAACAGGGTGAAAAGAGTGATGGCATTACCAAACAGAAACTTTTTGAATATTACTAAAAATGATAATGAGAGCAGGGTTAAGCTCAAAACCCTGGGGAAAACATTGTTATTGTGGGAAAACAGCAACAAACTAAAGAAATTCCTGGAAAGTATGTGTTTTGAGCACCATCAAATCTGTAGAATCACTCATGGTTGTGCTAAGAAACAGTTCACCCATAAATAAAATGATTATGTCCTTCCAAATTCGGATGACTTTCACTGTGCAATGAAACACAAAATATTGACAGATTTTCATTTTTTGGGGGTATGCTAATCTTGATTTTCCAAAGAAATCACTGTGCCATAATACATAAACATACATAAAAGGTTGATTAATTATGTTACAAATCTGTTGAGTGTACATACAGTATAGGCTACTGGTATCAGAATATTCTACAAATCTCAATGTTTGGCAAGTGCACCACATAGTTATTTGTATCTAAATACATTTCTGTCATCCCAAAAGTCACACAGGAAAATTTGATAGGAAATCCCAATTGCAGATGTCCAACTTTAGCATTACCATGCTTATCAAATTAATAATCCAGTGTGCATGACCAATCTAATAAACTGAACTACATAAAAACAGAACCGATTGCATAGCTAAAACAAGAATCTTTTGAATCTTTGAAGGATTCACAAAATTATCACATGTTGGAGTCCTGCTGCAAAAAATTGAAGATAAATACATAGAAAAACACACTATTATATGTTGAGCATAACTAACTTGGACTTGAAGTGATTGCAATTTGCAACTTGCCAACAGTGACAGATGGACACTTAGCAGGACAGCTTCTAAACACACCCCAAAATCACAGCTTCAGGAGACTATAATACTTTGGAAACAGCTAACATCTTGCACAAAGAGATAACATGCTACAAGTAAAACATGGACCACGGGTAGAAAAATTCTAGGATGTTTCATGGATCTCTAAATGATCAGACCACAACATCTAAACATCCTCAGCAGAACCAAATGTAAAACTTTTGAATAGTTCGCTCAAAATCTTAATCTTTTGGAGCGTGTAACTGTAGGCTATATTCATGACCTACAAAATAATTATGAAACAAAAAATCCATATCATGACCTTGACAACAAAGAAAGCTAGTTGGTTATATTTTGTGTTTGGTCATTATTTAGTAGGAACGTGGCCCATTTTTGCCATCTTCTGCTTGGCCTGGGGTGCAGGCAGAGCTAACAGACTGATCCTGATGGTCAATGGACTGGTAGGCATCTCTGTTTCGAGCTATTGTTGGGACACCTGAAAGTAAAAGATCAGAAAAACTCTGAATTACTGGAATTGTGTAAACTCAATAGCAGTCTCTAAAATTTTCTAAAAAGCATAAATTCACATTATAAGAATTCATGGTGGTGGTGGGAACATTGATTATGTTGATTATGTTTCAGGAACATTGATTATGTTCCTGAAAATGACGATGTAAGCTCTCTGTGCTGCGCATTTTACGGAAGACAGCTTCCAGAATCTCCACGAGTTCAACGCCGGATTCAACAAGAAACTGTTACTAAAACATGAAGCAGTTCCAACTTTAAAACCAAAGGCAGCAGTTGTTGGGCCACAACCTGTGTAAGTAGGCTAAGACTTAATCATTTTAAATGTATTATTTGCATGTATAATTCCAGACGTTGCCTTGTGTTTTAGGTTTATCAAATGCCAGCGCTGGCTTTATCCACTAGGCTACTAGTTATGCTATTTTGTGTCTACGACAAACGCGTACAAACATTATGGACCTGAATTTTGTATAAATACTAATGTTGTAAATGTATTTTTCATGTATATGTTTTATGACATTATTTTCGATTTGATCAAGAACGTAAACTAATGCCAACGCTGTTTAGCCAGTCAGTTGCTATTGTTGCCAGTCAGATGCTATTGTGTAAAACAAACGTGTATAAAGTTAAAAAATGTAGCAAATTATCATTCAGAAACGTTTAATAAGAGCCGTGTGTGGTGAGTTCCTGCTTGACTCTCTTCATCGCGGCTTTCTCGGTCTGATTCCTGATGCTGCAGTTCGACGCCATTATTTACATCTGGACCGGAGCTTGTGACATGCACGTTTCGCCCGCAAAGGTAATGGGCGTTAACCTTCCGGACAAAGTGAGCGACAGTTTAGCTAATCACAACACACCGGCCCAAACTAACCAATCTGAGCCCACTGCCTGTTTCTGAGGGAGTGGTTTCATAGAATCAGGAAGTAAACCGGTCGTTCGAGGACAGAGGAGAGCGCGGCTGACAATAAAGGTGAAGTTTATGAAAAATAAGACTTTTTAAAAAAGAAAAACCACGAATACATGTTATATTGCACCCCATAAACACAATCACGCAAAGAAAAAAAGCAGTCAACCACCCCTTTAATGTACTGTGGGCAATTCAGGCACTGTAATTGTTCTCAATTACATTATATCGTAGGCATTGTGACGATGTCGTCATTAAATAAGCAATTAAATATTTATTTACCCTAGATTTATCAGTCTTCTTTCCTCAGTAAATAATCCAAGTTCATTATCCACAAAAATAAAGTCAAAACAATGTATATAGTGTATATAATATGTGAATCTGCGGTCGTCATAAGATAGCGACGAAGATGATGACGAGTCGGAAGCCAGTTACCTTTATTGACTATAGAAAAATGCTAACTTCCGCCTTGAGGGCGGATGTTGGGTACTTCGGTTCCGGTTGCCGTTGTTTACATCCTACATCAGTGGACCGGCTATCTAAAGCTTAGCTATCTAAATGTTTTTGTCTAAAACTATGTTCGTTTGTTCATTGTCAAGTCAACCAACACAGTTTTCACTCATATTTGGGTGGAGTGAAAAGTTGCATTGTGAAAAGTAAACGATATTTCACATTTTGTCACCGCACCCAAGCAGTCGCTTTACAGAGTGGAGCGTTGCGTATCCATGACAACTAGAAGGAAGTTTTTAGGCTACTAATTATTTATTATATTATACCCTTTAACCAGGAGAAGCCCCTGGGTTTAGAACCTATTTTGCAAGGGAGACCTGTTTAGAAATATGTGTGAACAGCCTAATATGTGTTAAACAGCCTAACTTGATAACGAACGAACCAACGTCGGATACCTTTACTCCCTGTATGACATGTATAGTGGTTGTCAACACTGATCTATATGACATTCTATATAGATAGTGGTTGTCAACAACATAGCCTCTGAACATCATAAACAAAACAATGGCCAACACAAACTGTTCTGGAAAATGCACTTTCTAACGCATGATTTCGCATTTTATAATGTATAGAGAGATATAACAGTTACCAAATCGCATAGCTTGAGCACGTAGCATGGCAACATTAATGTCTGAGTGATTCCACGTGTACCGCGTATGTACACGCCGTCAAATGTCCGAGCGAAACAAAACAAAATGTAGATCTACATCTGGGGAGCGATATTTATTTTTTCCTAGGATGGTAGGAGTGACGGGTAGGTTGGGGTTGAGGTAGGTCATATGCTATATATATATATATATATATATACACTGTGTATATACAGTATATATATATATATATATATACAATAATAACGTTAAGTCAACGGTATTCATAAACACGCTGAAAAGAGATTATGCGTGTTGATAACATGCCAAAAATACGTGATACGTGTCATACGTACGCAATTTCATGAGATCAGTCTGAGCATGGATGTTGTTGTGACTTAACGTTCCCTTCAAAATTATGCAAATACTGAGAAATTTAATATTTAAACCCCTTCTCTCTTGCTCTGGGGAGCTGGAGGAAAATCATTAGCCAGTCGATGAACATAATCGACTGTAATATTCGGCAAATGTTCAAGACATCTGGAGAAACATCCTCTACGTCGTCCATCAGGCTACCGGAAACTAGACACCCCATATCGGTTTCGCAGCCAGAACTAGCATATGCTAACGTGCACATAGTCCATTTGGATGACGTGCGTCGTTCAAGGAAGTTGAGTTTGGCGGTCGGAAGTCAGCCAGTGAGTTACCTCGCGGAGCTCCGCTTGAAGACTCCCGTGATTTATTGTTTTATCCGGGCAAAAAGAGTGTTAAGGCTGCAATCTAATCAATCGCGATCTGGATTATTAAAAGTGAAGCATTGTATCCTCGTCATGATGGATTAGCGGATGGTCGTTGAGACGCTGCAAGGCTAACAGTAAGAGTGAGCAGTTCTAAAATCTGGGCGGAAATGATGGATTGGGAGCTTCCAGCCTGTATCCACAAGTTTCCGAGGGGCGCTCCTGTAAAAAATAAAGTGGGTGAAACTTCCGGTGAGGCGGCGGAAGTAGCATTCCAATGGTATTTTGTGTGTTAGTTAGCGAAGAGGCTAGCTGTTTTTCTGAGAATTATTTTACTATTTAAAGACGCAAATCTTTATGAGAGATGTCGTTACGGAGCTCATGGACAACATGTGCTGTTCGCGGTTGTATGTATAACCGGACTAATCTAGTTCAGTGGCTTAAACGTGATTGTTTTTAACATAAGCTGAAAACGAAATCAGAGTGTTCCTGCCAACGACTGTAGTTTCCATCACCTCCCAAAAGACGACGAATCTTCCTGTGTACATTTGTTTAAATTCTTAATATTCTATAAACTTTTATCAGCATGTGTTTGGCTGTTCACTACTGATGTTGCACCTAAACTCAGGATCAAAGCCTGTGTTGACAGAATACCAAATGTGCCAGTTAATGTATTCAAGTAGCACATTCATTTATAATTTTGAATAAACTCCAAACCACAATGACTAAGTGTGTATTTTTTATTTTAATTGTTTGTCAGCTCGCACAACTGTCTGTCACCATGCCTTGATGAGTATTGATTATTAATAATGTTATTATAATACTCCCAATCAACTACTGTGGAGGGTAAAGGTACTGTTATTTCACCTTTTTGAATTTCGTTGAGGTTGTGTTCCCACATCGTTAGCTAGTTTGGATCGCTATAACTTGAATGACTGTCAACTGTTGAATGAACGAGTGTCAAGCATGTCAAATCGTGCTTTGTTTACTTCCAACCGGAAGTCGCGCCCACTTTTGACGCAAGGCCTCATGGGGCGTAGGAAACTTGTGGATACGCACGTCTGGGAAATTCCAGTAAAGCGTGGACCGGATTTTTCAAGTAAGAAGGATTCGTGAGTACACTAGGCCAGTTCTGGATGACTGTTTTGACTTGACTTTTTTGACTGTTGACTGTTTTTGATTGGGGAAATTATTTATATATTTTTCCCTTATTGACTGGTGGATTATTGAACTATATGAACTGAACTGTTGGAATTACGGAACATCTTGGGACTTGAGCTCATTTTGGGTTTTTTTGTAACCTATGGTGGAACAACTTTTGAACTGGGTTTTGTTTGTTTGTTTGTTTGTTTGTTTTTTCTTCCTACTCAAACAAAAAAAAAAAACCATTGGAGACACTTGGAACTGTGTTGTGATTTGCTAAAATACATAATTGAATGAATTTGAGTTGTCTGTCATATTGAATGCAGAAGGGGTCTATTTAAGAGTGTTGTGTGAATATTATTTTATGGCAATTATTTTCTCAAATAAGTGAGGGGTTTTGTGAAAGACAAACTAGACTGCACAAGACCTTTGAACGTTTTTGCAAACTGAACTAAATTATTGACAGAAACCCTGTCTGGCACCCCAAACCAAACTAAAAATCAGAGAGTGTGAAAACGTTACATAAAAATGGCACCCCAGATGGGACCCAAATATTAAACACTTGTGAGAGAAAAAAATGCACTCAAATCAGACCTTCTTTATTTCAAACAACTAAAAACAACACCCAATTCGTCAAGCAAAATGGCTGCATCTTCAAGTTCTTGTCATGAAATGGAGGAAGTTCAAAACCAAACACCAACCAAAGAGGATCTTATGGATGTTATGCTTTAGATCAAGATGGAATTCAATCCTTTCCTCCTGGCACCCTTCCTAGCAGTACCTTGGAAGGTTTTCCGGCCATTTCATCTCAACACACACTGCTAGATATGGACTTAACAGGAAGTCTTGATCTCAGACCCCCAATATCACCTTCTCAGCCCTCCATGGAATTAACTGGATTTATGGACACTCTGACTCTTCAGCAATTGAGTGAAATGACCAGAACACAATACAAGAGTCTAAAAGACACCCTGTCAACTGAAGTTGGAGAGCTGAAAAATACTGTACTCTCACTTTACATGTGGATACCTGCATCTGTGAAACAAGCAACAGAAATAAAACAGCTTATGAGTAATCAGTTTGAGTATTT